AGCAAATTGTACAAAGCTGGGTCTAGAGAGTAGTTCATTTAGCCCTTGCAAAAACATTGGATTGCCTCCAAAGCGGAGACTCCACAGACTTTCTTCATAGCAGAGTGTCAATACATCCAGGGAGGTTTGCCTTCCCTGGGAAGAAATGGACATTTGTCTACCCATCTTGCAGCCTATGAAGAACTACTGTTCAGGCTTGTGACTGAGCTGGCATGGGTTATATGCAAGGGCTGCCCAGGATCACTGAAACTAGAATGGAACCACGAAAGGGATCAACAGTGTGTGTCTATTCACCAGCACCATCCCACCCCACCCCCAGCTTTAAGAAATGGCAGGTACGTAATCTCTGTTTGTTGTTAAATAGAACTATGAGAAAATTAGGAAAATTCAAAGTTCAGCACCAGAGAAATAAGAATTCACATGGAAGGCAAATTCCATCTGTGTGCATAGTGCATACACTCACTTTTGCTATGCCAAGAAGCACTGCTTTGTTATTAGTCATGGAAATTTTAATTCTATGTCATAGGAGAATAAGCTGTACACATATAAAAAAGCATGTATCTTCAGATAAGATTTTTTTTTGAGGTTCAGAGAATATGTATAAACTTTGCACACCTAGAACTGGATTTATCTTCCAGATTTGTTTGGAGAAAAAATAGTTAGCATTTAATGGGAACAGTTTATCTCCAAAGACTACAAATTAAAAAATTAAAAATCAACAAAGAAGGAAAGGGGAAAAAAAAATATCAGATCCAGAAGAACTTATTCAGCAATACAGCAACAGTGACTGTGTCCTTGCTTTGGGCTGTACAAATATACAAAATCTTGTCAAAATCCTATCCTGTGGAAACATGTAAATTCTGCTTCTTTTGCTGCTGGCATCACTAAATCTGAGTTTTACCCACACTGTGTGGCAGACAGTAATTTTTTTTTGTTGTTCATGGAGAAACAGAAGCCACAGCCCATTCACTAAAAATAGCAATTTGTGTGGACATTATTCAAACATTTGGCACCATAGAGGGATTCTTTTGGTGATGTGTTTTCTCTCTGAGAGCATTTTGTACTACCTCTCTGAGAATGTACTGAGAATTTTTACATGGTGATTGTCTATTTTCATGGCAAAACCATGTGTGGTTCTCCATGTGCACAAACCTAGTCACTTATGTACTTGGTTTTCTCTTAGACATACCAACGGGAAAATATAGTCCCTTCTCAAAGCTGTATAAACAATGAGAAATCACATAAATATAGATCTACTATTCTTACAGTTTTATGACTGTTATAACACATTTTATTTAGGAACTTTGCCACATAAATTAAACTAAATTCATAACTTGGTAATAGAAGGCTGTTAAGGAAAGACTGTATTTACTAGGGTTCATGGATCATATTCAAAGAAACAGCTAGTTTTATTGTAATCAAGTCTAACCTATAATCTTGGCAGCAACAGAATTAACTGGCAGAATAGAGGCAATTTGTGATATTTTAGGGAAGTATCATGCTCTGATTGGAAAATGTACACAGGTTCAGTGGACTCAATTTTACATTTAATTAAGGTGACTTCCAGATTGGACTTTTAAATTTAATAATCATCTAAAAAAATGACTTTTTATTTTGTACTAAAGTTCTTAATTTCAGTAGTCTACTCTGAAGCCTAAAGCCACTCATACTGATACAACAAAAATTAGTCAAAGGTTACCATATGATGATGAATTGGAATGGCATTTGTTCTTCTGCTCTTTTAATATAAGAAAAATAAGTGACCTTCTAATCAACCTGTCCAGTGACTTAAAGACCTCTCCTTATTTTATAGGATATTACAGTTAAACAAAAATTACAGTTATACAGAAAGCAGAAAACAGCCATGAGATTTTAAGACTAAAAATGTATGGCAAACAACCACAAAATGTAACCATGATCTAACTGACAGTAAAGTACTAAACTGTAGTCTTTACCCTACTGGGAGCTAACTAATGAAACAGGTTGGAATCTTTGATGAGACATGCAGATTTGGAGAGCATTAGGTCTTTCTGTCCAACATAGAGATACACTTGACAATGTGGAAAGAGCAGCATGGAAAGGAAACCAATTCTGGGCACAATGTGAAGAAATGCACCTACCCTCATCATGCCCCTCACATGCCCCCTATCTCTTGTTGGTCTTTCTTGGGCTGCTGCTTCCACCCTGGCGTCAGAATAACTGGGTGTGTCTGAGGCCACTCCAAAGGGGTGGAGCATCAAAGAGAGGGTGCAGAAGGATTGCCCAAAGGCTGAGGGGAGCAGGAAGCTGGGAGAAGTGACATGTGCCTTTTGAGATCAAAGTTCTTTTCTACATCCCTGTGTACTTCATGAATGATGAAGTAATTTGCTTGCACAGATGACGCTGTCATAGATCTATAGAAATACCATTGGCCTGACACTGGCTAAAAAAGGGTGAAGAATCAGAATAATTTGCAAGGATAGCAAATAGTATTTAGAACCTACAGTGCCAGTGTGAGCAGCATGTGCAGTGTACACAGAGCCTTCATAGCTGCATAAGATGTGGTATCTTTAACTGAAAGGAAAAATAAAGGGCAGGTGAGACTGAAGTGAAATAAAGGCACCCAGAATCAAGGAAACATCTCAATAGCTCTCTCTCCTATTCTCTGTCATCAAAGATATGTCTGTAGATCATTATCAAAATGTACTCACCATGCTTTTTAACTCACACAGTATTTTTCATCTACAACAACTTGGTAAAAATTCCAAGAAAGTAAAAGAGAATTTACCCAAACATTGCAGTCTTAAAGGAATGGGGCAAGTTAATGCATCTCTCCTAGTAGTAATATGAAAATCTGCTGTTGCAATACCTTGACATGCTAGGAATTTAATTTTTTCTAAAGTGTCCTGCATCATTAAGTGACCCCAACTACAACTCTTTTGCCTTAAAAGTTTCCTGAGAATAGTCTCAGTTTATGAACTTCTATGAATTTCTTCATTGCTGCCAAATATTAATTGAAACAACTGTGAAGAACACGTGGGTGCAAAAATATTAGTACCACATAATTCTTTCTACTTAAGAGGTCCTTACTGGATTATTGCAGAAATGCTCTGGAGTTCTAATTACTTATGGAAGTCCCACAAGGTTATTGCAGAACATGGTAATTAGACAGTTGTAATATAAGGTGTTAGCAGGGGATTGAGGATTTGTGTTAAGAAGCATGGTGCTTTCATGGCTATTTACTTTGCAGAGTACCAGAATTTAATGGAATTTGGTGGAAATCTCCAATGACAAATGCAGTTTAAATGTGAGAAAAATATCTTAACAGGGATTCAGCAGCTGGTGAGGGGAGACTAGCTGTACTACACCATGATCTTTACATTAATACAATTTATTCAAGTGTTAAGATTATTATAGATTTTTTAAAAACCCTGATCACATATTCAATGCAAAATACTTTCAGTTTTGTACACAAAGTGTTTCATACAAACAAGAGGCCATTTGACCATTTCTCTGTCACTGGTCAGAGAAAATAAAAATAGGCCACTTTCTGAGGCTGATAACACACAATAAAATGATTCAGCTGATGTATGTAGAAACCTTTGATTTCCTACCTCAAAGGACGTGGTCCCCAGTGACAGAGTGGTGCTAAAGCAAAAGCTCAGGACAAGGTTCAAGTTTGGCACTGCAGCAAGACACTTGAACTATTCTGCTGTGACATCCCATTCAGCAGAAGCAATTCAGTATTACTAGTTTTTAACTACATGTGACTGTATGGATAAAATAGTGGTAGAAGGCTATTAAAAAAATACAGAGGAGAATGTTATTTAATTAAATGTTATTTAAAATAAAGAGTAAATTTGGAATACATGAAATTGAATTAGGTAGCAGTATGCTAAATTAAGACTGATAAGCAGGAGAGAAAAATGTGTTCCCAAGTGTTTCTGTTCTATAGGGCTTAGGAATTGTAAATATGACTTTGTAGGTCTGAGCCATTCACATAACCCGCTACTGAGGGAGAATGGGAGTGAGAAAACTTGACACAAAGCTTCAGCATGTTTCCATCTTTATAGCTCTGTGGATATACAACTGTACAGATGGAAATTACTGGACAAAGTGCAAGGTAGAAGAGAATCCATCTCTAAATATCTTCTTAACATTTTACATGACAGTTATAACTCATTTTCACATGATAGCTAACATCCAATCAAAAAAAACAATCTCCCACAATGCTATAGGAACAGTCTTCAACAAGACTGCCTGTATAAAGGTGAAATTCACCTTTCTTAGCTAAGCATACACCAAGGTTAGATCACCTTCATTATAAGAATGATAATATTGTAATTTAATCTTCTTTATCCTCTCCTGTCAGCAAAATACATATCTCAGCTTTGTAATTCAGGCTGAATAATAGAAAGTTTACATAACTCTGAGGAATATCTAATACTTAATTTTTGAATTTAAACCCTCCCACAATCCTATCTAGGTATAAGTATTTGAAAACCATATATTCTATAGCTATTATTTCACTTAAGCAAATAACCACAGAGATGCACATACATCACAAACTTCTTCTGTCACACATACCAATTCATATAAAAGCAAAAAACATATAAGAACACTCTAGATAAAACTTTCCCTAGTATTTTTCAGCTGCTTTTTTAAATCACAGCAATGTTTTTTGTTACTCTGATTCTGAGTACATGACCTCTTTTGATTTGTGACAACAAAATAACAATTGCATTTGTTCATGATGGTGGCCCATATCTGTGGAAGTTAAATCCTGGCTCCTAAGATCCTGGCCAAATTAAATAATTATTCTGCCATTTTAAACTCAATGTTAATCAAGAGCTTGCTACCTTCTGCAGGTTTTCTAATGGGACTGCTGTGGAGCTGCCAAGATATAAAAATCCATTTGTGTCTATTTTTCCATGGATTGAGAAGAGATTATTTTCCTTGACAGAATTTAAAATAAAAAAAAAAAAAAAAAAAAAAAAAAAAAAAAAAAAAAAAAAAAAAAAAAAAATAAAAAAAAAAAAAAAGGGAGGAGAGAGGAAATTCACCCTCAATGACTGTTTCCATTCAGAAAAGCCAAGGTCTTTCCAAACATTAAGGAGTTAAAAGCAAATACAGAAGAAAATGCTGGGCTGACATTTTTTACCAAAGGACTTATCCTGAAAAACTGATCTTTTCATTTGATATAAAAGAATAGCCAAAGGACCAAAGGAATAAAAAGCCAGAAGGAATGATGAAACTGCACGAAAGCAGGAGCTGGGCTGAAAGCACATGGGTCCTCTAATACAACAGAAGGACAAGATGTTCAGAAGTTTAATACTAACAATCAACCTTCCCTGGCCCAACTGGCAATGTCAATAAAGTGGCGATTTTCTCCTCTCCAGGGACAAAGTATCTCACTTTAAGAAGTTTAGAAAATACTAACATATTCATTGAAAGTCACTCCTTTCATCCATTCAATATGTGCATGTAAAAGTTTTGCAGTTGTTTATAGTATCCACCTCTTAATGGCAGAGACAGCACAGTGTATCAGTGTATTTTCCTTTTTTCACAGCTTTCCAATGGATGCTGGGAAGTTTTGTTTATTGACTTGTTGCAGTATGTGAAGTGTAAACTGTTTTTCTCATTATTTAGATGTATGCAAAGCTTTCATATTCTTGGTACTGACAAGATGTAACTGGCTAGCAGTCTTACTAAGTAACACATTTACACCTTGGGGAAATATCTTTTCATGGTATATCCTGGAAGTGCTAATTGTCTTTTATTTCCTAATAACTGTTGAAACCAATAGGTTTAGAAAAGCTGGTGATTTCAAAGAACTGTAAATTAGACACCAAGACATCTTTCAGCGTGTCAAGTCTACATGTGAAAATCTTAAAAAAGTAATTTTTAAGCTCTTGTCCTCTGAAATGAATTAATGAAGTCATCAATAAGTCAATCATAACTGTCCTAATGCAGGATGTGAAAAATCTAGTAACATCATATGTGTAATTACTACTACTTTAAGTCATCAGGAAAGTAATGCAATTGCCTTTTCCTGCATCAGCAGAATGGCAGTATGAAAAAAAAAAATCTGTGCTGCAGCTAAGAAATTTAGGACATTTGACATTATGCCTTAGGAGCTGGACTTCAAAAAAATGATATGACAGTCTCTTCCCTCATCTTCCCATACCACACATTCACACTCTTTTTTAACACATTGAGTGATTATGCATAGAAGTATAAATTAAAATAATCACAAGTCCTGAAAAAGTAAGCAGATGGACAGAAGAAAGGTACCTGGTAAGTATCAAAGAGAAAGATGAATATAAGAATTTGTAATATATTAGACAGCAGAGAATCCACTAATACAATTGACCAATTCTTTTCCTTAGTGAGTACTTGTGCATTTGCCAGTTATTACAATCAATTGACCAAGTATCACACAAATCCCTGGGAAACCACTCTATGATTTCCAGCAATTGAGAGAAATCACTGCAGTGCTGAGCCTGCCTAATACAGAGTCAAAACAGATTCCTTCTTCAAAAGTTCACAGACAAAGACTATGCTGAGTTGGAAGGGACCCACAAAGATCAACAAGTCAAACTCCTTACTCTGCACAAAACCATCCCCAAGAGCCACACCATTTGCCCAAGAGCATTGTGCAAATGCTTCTTAAACTCCGTCAGGCTGGTGCTGTGATCAGTTCCCTGGGGAGCTGTTCCAGTGTCCAACCACCCTCTGGGTGAAGAGCCTTTTCCTAAATCTAAACCTCCCCTGACACAACTTTAGGCCATGCCCTTGGGTGCTGTCACTGGGCACCACAGAGCAGAGATCAGTGCCTGCCCCTCCTGTTCCTCTCATGAGGAAGCTGTAACTGCAGGGAGGTCTCCCCTCAGTCTCATGTTCAACTCCCCATCAACCAGGATCCCCAGGTCCCTTTCTGTGGCACTGCTCTCCAGACTCTCATTTCCCAGCCTGTCCCTACATCCAGGGTTGTCCCATCCCAGATACAGAATCTGTCACTTTCTCTTGTTGAACTCCATACAGCTGGTGATTGCCCAACACTCTGATTTGTTGAGATATCTCAGCAGGGCCTCTCTGCCTTTGAGGGAGTCAACAGCTGCTCTGAGTTTTGTATCTTCTGTGAACTTGCTCTGTATCCCTTCCAGTCCTGTGTCCAAGTAATTTATGAAAACGTTGAAAAGCACAGGGCCGAGAATGGAGCCCAGTGGAACCCCACTAGTGACAGGTTCCTGGTCTGATGTCACCCCATTCACTGTAACCCTTTGTGTCTGACCTGTCAGCCAGTTGCTCACCCATCCCATGATGTGTTTATCCAGCTGTCTGCTGGACAATTTGTCCAGAAAGATCCTGTGAGAGACAATATCAAAAACTTTAATGAAATCCAAAAACAGTACATCAACTGGCTTCCCTTGATCAGCCAGGTGGTATACCTTGTCAGAAAAGAAAATCAAGTTTGATAAGCAGGACTTCCCTGCTCTTGCTTCAGAGGTGATAATTTATTTTTTTTTTTTAATAATGAGAATAATTAAATTTAGGATTGGGAATTAAAATAATAGGGAGAAAACAAAGAAAAAGTAAGACTCCATTACTGAACCCCACTTTTTCCCTTCCAAAGAAAATCCAACCCAAACCCTGAAATGTACAGATGACAGTATCCGTGCCAAGAAACACTGCAGGGAACTTTAATGTCCCACAAGGCCACTGAAAATGGTGACATTGGGAAATATGATTGGGACCCATGCATTTATAGAAAGGACAGCTTGACCATAATAAACTGGACTACATTTCATTCACTCCGTAGGTTCTGACTCATTCAAAGGACTTCAGCACTGACAAAGCTATCTGCTGACTGTTTCCCTATTTGGAGATTCTAATAGGAGTGGAGGTGGTAGATGATAAAAGCAAGGAAGAGGCATAAGAAGACCAAAGAACAGAGTAAAATGTAAAGCTGGCAAATGGAGTTAAAGAAAGTGGATGGAAAGCAAATTAGGCACCTTATACTGCCAAAGCAATAAAACAACAAGAATCTGGAAAAGAAGAGAGAAAAGAAAATTGGTGAAGTTCAATCAGGAATGAAAAGGAAATGACCCAGTAAGAATAAAATGAGCTACAGAGCACACATAAAGAGAGTTACGTGGGTGGGAATTAAAGAATGGAAAGTGTCCCTGCACTGAGGACATCAGGAGATCTCAGCTGACTAAAAGTTAACAGTAAAAACACAAAGGAGGGGGAGAGAGAAAACAAGGGGAACTATAAGGTTTGAATTTGAAGAATTGAAAGAACACCTGCCATTTAAATATTCCAGTAAACTTGAGAGGAAATACTGCAACAGAGCAAGCTGAATTGGCAAGGTTTGAATACGCACAGAAAGGATGCCAAGTAGTGAGACCAAGGGACTCCAGGATGTGTGTACATTGGCATGATGGCATGACTTGTAAGATGATCTACTCAGTGCTGGATATACCAGCATACATGTCTTTGAGTTTTTCACTAAGTAACTCTGATTATAAAGTATATTGAAACAGCCAAGTAAGGTATAATTTCTCTAAGTGCAGCATAATCCTGCAGAGAGATCAGATGCAAGCAAGCAGTAAAGTAACAGAATTAATTTTCAGTTTATTCTCTTAAGTCTATAGATCTGATATTACATTTTATGTGTCAATACAAGTTTTAAAGTAATTTCAGAAAAAACCATGAAGTATATTTTACTAATATTTAATTAATGGTCCATGCTTCTTACCTGAAACACATGGGCATACAGAACCAAAATATGCCAGAATCACTTTTGACAGCTTTTTTTGAAATCAGTATGTCTTTTCCAATGGACAGCTCTTTCAGGACTACATATCTTATTGATGCTTCCATCTATCACTAATGTTCTTTCTCCCAGCTAGACCTCTATTTATAGGTGTCTTACTTCACAATTAAGCAAGACATCCACATTTCTAACAGAGTTTCTTTGCTTATGAAACTATGTTTAAGAGTTATAAAACATTTTGTAAGCCTTAGCTCCATTCTGTACTGTAGCACCATATACATCAGGATCTGTTACCATATATCAGGATCTGTTACATATGTATGCTATTTTCCTCTAGAACAGACATCCAAGGTAACGAAAGTCCTTTCCCAGCCACCAAGGATTTTATAAGCATTATCAGTAATGTAGTTGATTGCACTATTTGGAGAGAATATTCACCCATTTACAGTGAAGAAATAGACAGATGCCATGCTGACCGCTTCAGAGAGCAGGAAAGGACTATTAGAAATGGAGGTTCTAATAGAGCTATCGTGTCCCATTTCACTTCTAATAACTGCGATGTCTTCGTGTCCTTCAGCAGGGTTTCCAAGATGCTAACCACCCAGAGCTTAATAGGCATATAGATTCTCACTAGCCAGCAAATTTAGATGACAGAATAATTTTCTACCAACTTTTTCTTGTGCTTATATTTATCTCGATATAATTCCCACAATATCTAATAGTATTGCAGGTTTGCTTCTGTTTTTCAAAGATGTTTAGTGACTCATCCAGTTATCTTTAAGTCTTGCAACACTATGCACTGTTTGATTAATCTCTCTTTGAATATTTTAGTATTGTTCTCACCAAATCTCTGTCTTTTAAAATGCTTTCTACAGTCTTATAAATTTCATCTTTTTTTTCCCCTTAGGATTTTCTTTAACTGCCTTTTTAATTTCTTGTGGAGATTCAAGATTACAATAGTAAGGACCAATAAACCTCTCCTTGAACTATACTGAAAAAATCTTTGCTTTATGTTGAATATAATTTATTCCTTAAATGTAGTTTAAGGGCATGGAAGAATGTCTTTAGAAGATATAAGATGAAAAGAAGAAAACTGAATGGCCAAGTAGTCCAGAAGAAAAGGTGAATTAATAGGGTGTGCAAAAAATTGGCAGCTATGGGATAAAACTAAGGAGGTGGCTTGAGAAAACAACCAAAAGGAAGATACAATCACAGCAAAACAACAACTGTCTGAAAGGCCCTTTCATTTTCCCAGAGAACACATAGTGCCTTGTATATCTCTCCAGCCTTAACCATGGAGACCAAAAGGTGAAGAGAACCAAATTATCAGCGACACTGCAACTTTCCCCAGAATGCGGTAATCACACCGAATCACACGGTTGTGACCCTCTTGTTGTGAGGAGTATGGAAGAAGGAGAACACTGCCAATTCCTTGCCTTCTTCCTGCAGCCAACTGTCTCTTTTTGACTTCTAGAGCGGTTCTGACTGGTTGGAATCCATTTCCATCATTCCTTTATGTTTGCTTATTTATCTTAATGTTTATTCTCACCTTCATTCCTCTTCTTATACCTACATGAGTACCACAGTGGTAAAAAATCTAGGGTTTGTTTGAGGTTTTTTTTTGTTTCCTTGTTTGTTTTTTTTAAGAAAATTAATAACGAGTTAAAACAAAACAACAGGAAAAAAAAAGAGAACAGAATATTTCAGGAGGGAAAGAATGTAAGAGTGAGACATAAAAAACTTCTGAAAAACACAGGCAGAAACTCCTACCACAACTAACCACTTGCAAAGTAGGCATGCTTAACATTATGATGTTAAATGTTTATAGTTTCTTAGTAGTCAGTGGTTCAGCTCTTCTAACATAACGCATAGAATCATATCCAAATGACTTCACTGGAACTTGTGAAGAAACACTTTAAAGGAAAATATGACTTCATTAAATGAAATAGTAAAAACAAAACAATTTCTGAGATTTCTTGACTTCTAATCCAAAAGCTATACTTTTCTATATACAATTATGTGCATGTATGAATATGTACACATATGTATTCTGTTTGAATATATATGCATACTATTCCCTCACATATACAAATATTTATGTTTACATAAGATGCCTAACATGAATTTGTAATGGATAGAAGAAACAGTGGCAAAATTATGAGGGAGATATTCAAGCCATCCTGGGTAATATTAAGACATAAAATGGCATAATTTATCCTGTATTCTATATATATTTTACAAATACATTCCTATAAAAATGTTTAAAAGAGTTTTACAAATTTTATTAGCATTATTTTTCATATCCATCTGCCTGTAGAAACAGGCTCCTCTAGTACTAAGATTCCAACTGTAGAGGGCCTTGAGGGAGAGGAGTAGTATAATATTTTTTTAAAACCTCTCAAATTATGCAAAGAAGATTTCTAACATATAAAAAGTGTCATAAGCCTAAAGTCTGCTGTGAGCTAAAAGTATGTGCCAATGGAAATCAAGGATTCTTCCCTTAGAGCATAAAGTTTCCATTTTCATTCCTTAGATTTGCAAGATATCTCTAATCAGCACCAGCATTGAACTGTGCCCAGACCTGTTCTTCAACAAATCTAACTTTTAACACTGTTTGTGCACATTTTGAGAAGACAAAATGAGAAAAATAAAAAAAAAAAGTTTCTCTTACAAGTTTTACTAAAAACGGTACAACTTGATATTCTTCAGAGGTCTGGAGTGTAAATTCACTCCATTCAGTCCCTTTGGGACAAGAGCAGGGGAGCTGATTAAAGTGACTACAGATGAACAGAACTTGTAAATGATCAGATGAATACATAATACTTTACACAACGTGACGCACAAATACAGTAAGTGACTTTTCCAGGAGTCAGCCTGGCTGAGCAGGCACACGAGGGAAACTGCACACAGTGGGATTTCGGAGCAGGCCCACAGGAAGCATATTGCACAAGCTGCCTTTAAATGTGTCCTCCCACATATAGGCCATCAATACCTCCTATAAATAACATAAACAAAAGCCAGAGTTTTATTTTATACACATAGAAATGGAAACAAGTGTTTTGGCAACACATTTTGCAATTCTGGCTTTGAAAAAATGAGTTAAGACTGCTAGAGGAGGGCAGTTTCTGAGTGACAATTTTTAAAATAACCTGGAAAGTCTCATTTCTCCATGGGCAAGGAAAAAAAACATTCTAAGCCTAATACACAAAGTTACTTTTCTCTAGTCACTTAGAAGAAATAAGGGACTTCTAAAATAAGGGAAAAGCCCTATGTGAAAGAATTTAAGAATATACAACATGTGCTTAAGAGAATTGTCTTTCAATAATATGTGTTTAAACATGAATAACTATGGAAATAATTCACCCTTAAAAAGCAATCACTTTGATTCTGATAATACTTTACTTTCAGCTGTGATTATTATATATATATATATTATATATATATAATTATATATATAATTATATAGTGTATATATATAAAATATATATATCATATATATAATTTTATATATATATATTCAATATCAGTAGGTTGACTAGATTTGAACTGCAATGTAAAGCCATTCACTTAGCAGGCTGAAAAATTCAGAAAAGTTCACTGATTTATACTGAAAGAAAAGGTCAGAGAAATATTTACTCAATATAGGCAAATTTACCTGGTAAAGCAAAATAATAAATGCCCCTTAATGAAAAATATTTTAAAAATTAATGCAAAGATAAATAAAGACGTACCTGTGCATTTGAATTGCATTATCCTCCCAATATAAATTTTTTATCACAATGAAGTTATGATCACATTAAGTGAAAGCAAAATACAGATATCTGCACACATATCAAACATGATAGACAAATATCAGAAATGTATATCTAGAGTAATTTTAGTTACTTTCATAAGTACTCAAAGCAAGTCAGGACTACTCTTTGCAGATACAAATCATTGTATCACATTTTGCTTAGATTTGCCAAACTTATTGGTGTAAGTCTATGTCTACATGCTGCCAGATCAGCAGTTTGTAAGTGGGAGGCTGAAGCAAGCCAAGATTTCAGTGTTATCTCTTCCAAATTTTTCTGGTGCATTAGCAACCATTTTCTGGTGCAAACAATACAATATTGTATGTGTCATATTGTTAGTACTATGCCTTAATTTCAGATGGAAAACTGCCTCTCGAAATAGAGCAGAGAGTGAATTAAAAAAGAATGTCGTCATACCAGAAATGAGAGATATTAGAAAAGACAGAGGACCATACTTTCAGGTTCCTTGGATATATCACAACATATGGTCTAGAGAACATTTTATATTTAAAACCTCTCTAAGATACTGAATTGTCATTCATAAGAAGACTCTTCTGTACTTTTGAATTCTGAGGACTAGAATTTAATCTCATTTTGTCTTTATTGTTGGCATAAATCCACATTTCCCAGTAGTAGTTGAGGTAAGAAATTTATCTAAGAAGTATCCTTTGTTTTTTGGTCTCTATTGAAATGGCCAGGAAGTTTCCTACATACAACCCTCAGCATTTTGAATTTGGGAGAGATGTGTTGCTGTGGGGAATTGATTGTAGAGAATTTCCATGTTTTGGTTAAAACTAAAGAGTTTTCCCCATCCAGGATATTTTTCAACTTCAAGATTAAATGACTACCTTTTCAAACCCTGGGGAAGAAGGACTTTAAACCATGAGTATTTTAGTTTTTATTTTCAAACACCAAAATCTAATCCAAACTCATATTAGTTTCACTGGGAGCCATCCATCATAACCCTGCCTTTTTAAAAATATGTAACTCAGGTAATTGTGGGATAATGTTATCCTTTAGAACATTGTTCTAAAAGGACTATAGAGATTTCTAGTACAAACAAATAATACTCTCTTGGTTGCAACTTAATGTTGCTTTCAAATATTTAACCAAAGAGATAATATGAATTACATGATACTTTTAATTACCATGCAAAGCAGTAGTCATCTTTGAGAAAATCTTAGTCACACACTAGTCCTGATTTCTGGAATACCAAAACTGTAATTATAAATCTCCTTCTATTCCATATAATATCACTTCTATTATCCTGCTTTCCTCTCAATCTGTACAAGCTGCTTATCAACTTTTGGCAAGCTTTTGGCTGCTTTGTGAGAGATACAAAAAGTGACCTTAACACACCCATAGCAGCCACATGAGGAAGTCAGGAAACTCTCCCAGTGCAACAGGAGCAGAGCTACCCTGGATTTCAATGTCATAGTCTGTCTGTTGAATGACATCACTTACACAACTCCATTGGCATCTAGAGAACAAACCCAGTGCAGAGGTATCCCATTCTAAAGAAATACTTTTCCCTTACCAAATTTTAGTTAATGCTAGGCTCCAGTAAGGCTAAAATAAAAGCATGGGCTAAACCATCTTACATTTGCCCTGAGGTTGGACCTTGCTATCTGCACTAAATCCCAATGTTGTACTGCTTCAGTCAGTAATCAAAGAGTGAAACATCAATCCACTGTGTTACATATTTTTTAGTTCCACAAATGCTATAAATGCCTACTATTTTGTAAACAAAATTAGAATAATACATGAATTGGAGGTTGTTTTCTTGAAAGGGTTTTATAAGTCAAATCTATTATAGAGTGCTGCTTAACTGAGACTTAGTATAAAAGCAATTTAACAGAAGAGGCAAAACACTTTCATGTTTTTCATCCAGTACATAAAATTCACTATTATGCTTTCTGTGCATTTGGATAGTCATACAATGCATGAGGTGTTGAAATTACTTTTAAATACAATGTATTTTGTAATAAAGTGTTTTTCAGGTTAGGATGTATTTCCATATATGCTGTAAAAATACAAGGAAAAATGGTTTACTTAGAAATAATAAGCCAGTTCACTGAATCAGTCCACCTTGATGACACTGATGCTATCCAGCAATGAGGTTGATATATGAAAATGTCTTTATCCAGAAAAGTATTCAGGTCCACGCATAAACATAACCATTTCAACATAAACCAACCAGGTTAAGCATAGGCTAATTATGCATGTTCCTTTGCAGAAGAACAATATTCCTTTCATTGGTGAAGGACCTAATATAATCAGCAGAAATACCAGAATTTTATGAAAGGAAGGAAACAAAGGAGTGAGCTGCAGGTTACCTGTAATAAGAGAAATTAGTAAAAGACGTGGGAGTTTGAGGTTACCCTGGAATGAAACACATCAATGGGTACAGAATGAGATTAAGAATTGTCTTTTAGAATTTCTTGCTCTTATTTATTGTGGAAGACATCAAACTCAGGAGAAGAGCTTTGGCCCTTTAGAGGAAATGTTCAATAATAGGCATAATGTGACTGTTTTGTCCTGAACTTTTGATTTTTCTGTGATGGGAAAAGGGTTTCATTTAACATCCCCATAAATCCTGATGAAGTCAGGAGGAGATACAGAGGCCATGACCAGTCTTCCAAATCAATACACTAAGTTTTTTTTACTGAACAATATTTTACATTTGTTTTAATAATAAAAATATTCTAAATGCTGATAGGATTTTGCATATTTAGCAGGACACCATATTTACTTTGTAAGAAAATGCAATGTCAAGAAATTGGTTCTTCAGATAATTCCTCTTGACAATATTTTTTACTATGAAAATTCTACTTATCATTAAATAGGGTAAATATATGATTTGTAAATACTTCTTACTTAATGTAGTCTCTGCCAAAAATGATTTCTAAAATTTTAGAAAAATAAAAACTAGTTTCTCAAGTGGACTTCCATAGAACTTAAAAATGCACAGCAGATACAGAGTCACACCAAATAAATTTGGGACATTGTTAATGATAGTCTATGGAAACTAGTCTATAAATTCTTGATTAAGGAAAAACCCAGAGTTAAAGGCACAAATTGAGAGTGGAAAGAATGTATCCTAGTAGAATAATAACTCCCTGTGGACTGGCATGCACACTGAACAAAATTACTTATTTTAATTCTGA